TTTGGAAGAATATTTCCCACATAAATAATAAGTGAACAGATTAATGGAACACCGGAAATAGCAACAAATAATTAAAATCTGTTTAAATAATTAAAGTCTGCTTAAATCATTAAAATCTGTTTAAATGGTTGAAATCTGTTTAAATAAGTAAAATCTGTTTGAATAAGTAAAATCTGTTTGAATAATTAAAGTCTGTTAAAATAATTAATACCTACACAATTTCTTTTCACTGACTAAAAATTTATTTTTGTTTTAATAACGCTTCGTACAGCGATTCAATGAGATCCCATTTGAATCATTCGAGATACGAAAAATAATTCGAAGCGCGACACACCTGCGCAACTTGAAATTAGTTTAAACCAGTTCGCACGCGTTACAATTTATGTATATTTTATTAGCACGGGGATCGTTCGGATTATTTACAGCGCGGAATTTTAGATCACCGATAAAATGCGGTTATGCTCGGTCGTGAGCACCTGTTAGCGATTCGTTCCGCGAGAATGTTCGCAATTAACGTCATTATGCAGCCCATGATGGTGGTAATTGGTTACACGAAACATTTACTGATATAGTCATCGTGCAACGACAAATAATCTTACGTTGTATGCTTTCTCATGGATAACAATCGACGCAAACATTAAAAAAGATAAAAGTCTCAGATCAATTCCCTAAAAATATCAAAATAATATGCTCTGAGACTTCAAAGAAGAGACTATTCGTTGTTCGATCAATGATTATAAGCAAATGCGCGAGATTCTGCCGAAAATATTTGTTGAAAAACAAAGTTAAAAATTCCCTCTCAATTTTAATAAAAACAATGAAGATCGGGGTGCTACCCGAAGTATATTAAATTCCTTACACAATAACTAGACTGCGGATGTTACGCATTTATGTCAAAAATGAGTAGATCAATCTTAAAACAGCAAAAGCATTTAGATAGCTTAAGAACATTGTTGCATTATTTGCATCTCATTAAAATTATTCAGAGAAGAAATCAATATTTCTGCAGCACCTGCGTCTTGCAATTGATGCAGTCAATTTTTATTTAGCATAAAAGCCCGCAATCTAACAATATTAGACATTGTCTATGCAAATAAAAAAGATTATGCTTCCAATGTTTTCTAACTTTGTTGATATAAATCTAGGTTTAGTTTAAATATTTTAAACGTACACACATTTATTGCGTTCACAATGATCCATAATTTATGATTAATACAAACCTTAAAAAAAGTAATCACTTGAACTCGACTGTGCGATGCGAAAGAACGGTCGCCAGCGACAATAATAATTTGTTCGATGTAACAATTACGTTGTAACTGATCGGCGAAACACCCTTTCCGGAGGTCTCCGGACTCGGCAAGTTCTAGCCGCGGCTCCATTTGCACTCGGTTGCAACTTTCGCGGGCGATTGATGCCGCTCATTATTTCGGCCGCTGAGCGCCGGACAATTAATAATCGATAAAAAGCGCGTCGCGATCCGGCGGCCAGCCGGAATTGCGGTGCGTCGAAGCCGGGAAAATCCGGGAACGACAGCAGGAAATCGAGGAACACGAATAATACCGCCAATGGGTCCGTCGTAAATCCCGTCCGAGACGAAATTGCGTGCTGCATCCGGACACGGGAGCATGAGCCGCCGGCTCTTCCGCGTCTTCCGCGCCTAAATGCACGGGACTATTAAATGAGCGCCGTTTCAATTCGCGCAGCGGCCGGCGCGCGCTCTTAATCGTCATCGGTACGTTGTATCAATTACTCCGGCGGTAATTCGTGCCGCGGTAATCTCTCGGAATAAAAATCGTCCTTTGCCGGCGGATATTCCCCTAAGTATGCCGAATGAATTTTGTATTCGGTCGTTAGTGTTTGCTTTGCCTTTTCCGTAATTTCATTCCCGCATCCGTATCCGGAATACACGGGCTGACCGAAATGCGTGTGCACATATTTTTCGTTTTACATTTGAATTGTAGATTTCCTGAACAGTTAGTTGCGAACGGAACGGTACTTTAATTAGAAAATGAGATAGCAATTGTTCATTGAAATTCGTGCGTTCGTTGTAACCAAGTGATAGCAAGAGAGATGATTGCGGTGCAGTTGCAGTCGAGAACGAAGAAAAACAGACGGTAAGAACGAGGAACTTTGCAGCAGTTGGAATTAATGCGAATCGATGTAAGACATTTTTTAACGAATTATACGAAAGGATGGGCGTTTTTTGGAAATCAATTACTAAACGAATTCGCGAGATAAGGCATGATCCAATTTTGCAGTGCGAAGCGAGAATTTATATGTTTAATTAAACACGCTTTAATTCAGACCCGATCGATTTTATTATGCGTTTCGCGGGTGGGGAAACTTTGAATTTAATTGAAGCGTATCTGCCAAATGGAATTATAGATTTTCTGGATTATTTGGAAGAGTACTGATCACTGATCACTGATCACTGACCATTAACTACTGATCACTGATCACTGGCCATTGACTATTGAACACTTGATCACTGACCACTAGACCACAGAACACTGACCACTAAGTATTGACCATTGACTTTGACATAATCTCGACACATTTGTATATAATGTATTTATATTACATAACAAGATTTTTATATACCTTGACATAATTCCTTATTATTTAATATCCTATTATATTGAAATATTTGTTGCTTGTTTATGTATTATGTTCAAATATGTATCAATTATGTATGTATTATATTAGAATGCATGTTACGATACTAAATGTTGATAAAAGATTCTTTTATTCAACCAAAAAAAAAACAAAATCGTTGCAATTTTTTAACATAACTGTATGTTATTTATATACAAATCGATTCACCTTTGTATTTCTTTTAAAAAAATGATTAACGTACTCAGATCGAAAATTATGAGCATTGTGTCCGGAACGCCCATAAGATCGCATCACTGTGCGCCACCGCAAACTTTGGATGGAACTGCGAACCGCATCGGGTGCCGCTACTTCATTTTCTGCAAGTGGGTGCCGACATTGTGGACAGTTCTGTCGCGTGCTGCATAATCGCTTTATCACCCCGAACGGTTTATGTGTTCGACGCCGACGTTGTTCTAGTTTCTTGCGGCGCATCATTGTTGTCTGTCTCTCCGCAACATCGTAACCGTCCGCGACACGGTTCTTATAAATCACTAAGGAATCGTTGGCCACGCTGCTCCGCTTAACGAGACTCATATTCTTAATTGATAGACAGTCGAGGTTCATTGACAATCGAGACTGCAAATGAATTATTGCACAGAATCGCATACCGCTCTACATTCATCTCTTACTTTATTACCTACCGAGAATAATTAACGAACTCAGCCTGGGATTCAATATACTATTTTACTATAATATTTTAATATGTTATATTAACAATTTATTAAGTTATTTTAATATTTCACTTGTTTAAGCTACATTCGCAGATATCTTGAAATGCACCATTTGATTCCATATTTATATTTATTTATTTATTCATGTAACCTTTTAGTTAGTGTACAATATTAACTTGTGTATTATGCAATTTTATGTTATTTTTTGTTTCTATGCACTGCAATTTGCATAGCGCTAGTAACCGTGTAAGGGGTTCCCAGCTTAAATAAACAAAAAAAGGTATTAAAACTTTTTATAACATTGCTATGAAAAAGCCATTTAATATTTTTCAGTCTTTTCTTTTGTTGAACAGAGCAAACCTACAGCTTTTCATTCCAATGGCGCTTATTCTGTCAACCAAATTATTCAATAGTGATTCTATTTCGTGAATATCGAGGGATATCTTTTTTCATAGCAATTTAAAAAAAAAACGAATGAACCACCCTATATATTTTTAACTCGACGTGCACGCTATTGTACACGCAATCGCGTCCACGGATTGTTGAATTGTGTCAAAATTGTATCTTCGGTTATGTCAAAACCGTACGTTTAATTACGGTGAAAACCGTGCGTTCAATTACGGTGAAAACCGTACGTTCGATTACGGTGAAAACCGTAAACGTTTAATTATTTCAAAACTGTACGTTTAATTGTCGAAACTGCAATTGTCCCATTCATGCGTATGACGAACGCCTTTGCGCAAATATTCGACAAGCTTCCGTGTTTTTCGCGAGAGCGAAAACACGCAGAGAGCTTGATACTGATAAATTAACCCGCTTCGTTAAATAAGAATTAACGGACACGGCAGCCATTCCGATGGCGCAATATTTTATAAATAATGACCGGAGTGCATCGAAGATGGTATCATAAATAGCGGCGGAGAGTGATTTAATTAAAGCAGTAACAGCTGCAGAATCTCTGTTGGTCTACTTATTTTTCTTTTTATCCACCCACGAAATTTCGCAGCAGAAGTTTGAACATTTCAACGCTGACTGCAATGAAACGTATGATTTAATAACGCGGCCATTAATCTGCAACGTTCGTTTCGAATTATTCTCTGCGCGCTGGCCGGCCGTAAGTCGGAACGGCATTTTTTATATCGCAGAACGTTGCGATGTTTAAAAAGCAACGATTTTTTCGCTATCGATTCTTGCCGCTGCAAACAGGAGCTGCGGAATAAGTGCTGGATGATTAATAGAGAGATTAAACGAGGTATGTAGTTATCGAAAAATGATTTCATTTTCATCGATCGTTTTTGGAGAGCGGTGCACAATTTTATCGTATACTAGGGACAAAGACCACTTTCAATTCCATTTCGTTGAATTGACTATAGAAATATGTTTGTTCGCCTAACGAATGCTTCGGCGTTCAGCCGCAATCGAAGCTTTCCGAAGCAAATTTTCCGATTCGAAAATAACACGACGATTACAATGACCACAATAAACCGTGTACGATATATTCTACAAAAGTAAACACAGTAACGTCTCTTTAATTGACGCTCAGGTTGTCTACGAAAATGGACAATTTAGGAAGGGAAGACACGATTATTCGAGCCTTACGGTTCCTTTTCATAGTTACGAATTGTCAACAACTATAAAAACGAGCTAATCGAGCTCGTGCAATCGTACCTCCTCTTCCAAAATTGTCCATTTTTCTGGACAATCCGAGCGTCAATTAGGGAGACATTACTGTGCTCATAATTCGTTGGACAAGACGGCGGGTAGCTTGTTCTGCATCATATCGGACTTCTTCTCCGCCATGCTGAGCGCGGTGTGCACTTGTTGGACCTCGACGGTGGACAAGGTCGACTCGATGTCCGGCAAAATGGCATCCGTGAGGCTCAGTGAGAGCAGCCCGTCGATGTCGGGGTTGTCGCGCTCGGACAGCACGCGTCTCATCTTCTTGATGTACTTCTTCAAGCCGACCTGCATGGCGATGCCGGCTTTCGTGTCCCGACTCGGCAGCTTCAGCCTCTCCGACCGATCGTTGGCCATCGGCGACCGATTGGCATCGGTGTCCTCGGAGTGCACGGTTTTCAGAGCTCTCCTCTCGATCGACGGCGACTCGCTCGATCCGATCGGCATCGATCTGACGCTGTCCTGCAGGCGCGCGGCCATCCTGGCGCCGGCTCCATCTTGTCGCAGAGTCCTCGATCTCACTGGCGGCGCCTTTCTGCCAGCAGCCGGGCTATTTTTAGCGGTCGTCGCGTCTAAATGTTTCGCTGGCGGAGCAGCTCTCCTGCGATCGAAATCGTCGGCCATTTTCCCGGCGTCCTCGTGCCCGTCTCCTTCGCGACTAATCAGATCAAGGCCGCCGCGTCTTTCCTGGAACAAAGTCGATCTGGGCTGCTTGTTCGCCCTCGGTTGATCCCCTTGAACACTGTTATCAGCCTCTTTGACCGTTCCCGTCGACTCGTTCGCCGACCCTTTCCTCTCTCGATCATTTCTGCCGGCCGATCGTTCTTTGCCGGCCAACGACTCCGACGAGCGCTCCGCATTCGGACCGGGTGCAACAGCCTTCGACACGGCACCCATGGTCCTCGGCCTCTGCAGTTTCTCGCGGCCACGTTTCGCGGATTGCTCCAGCTGTCCGCGCCCCGGCGACGACTTCGGCCGTTCGAAACGATCGGGTTTATCGCGGCCGTGCGACGCCGTGTTCGATCGGGCCGACCTAAACCTTGGCTCTACCGACGGCCGACCAGCAGTATCGACCAACGAGCCAATCGACTCGGGCCCTCGAACTCCGGCTGCCGATTCCGTCGCGGATTTCGCGATCGGATAGCTCGGACGGTTCGATTGGCCGTAGCTCGAGCCCGCGTTCGGCGAGAACATCGCCTGCACGTTCGTTTCTTCGGTTTCGCTTCGAATAGGTTCCAACTTCCTCAGCTCGTTACTCTTCGAGTTACTCGTTCCGGTCAACGAAGTCTGTTTCTGAGCAGTTCCGCGCCCGATAGGGCTGCTTCTCGGCTGACCGGCCCGGCTGCTCGATTGATTCCTGCCCGCGTGGCCCGGATACTTCGATGGATCTCTCGTTTCTCGCGTTCCGGGCGACGTCTTGCCGGCGTTCGAGCGTCTCTTGTCGAAGGGCGGGAGATGGCCGGTGATTTTGAAGGGTCGCGCCTGCGACCGGTCCGACGGAGCCCGGGTCGAGGCCACCGAGGAATCGCGGGAGCGACAGGAACGATCGTCGGGATGCTTGCTGGACTCGCTGCGGACGCTCTCCGAGTCGATCGAGCTGATCGTGGTGCAGTTGATCGAGTCCCTTTCGGCACCGTCGATCGAGGAGAACGTGTTCTGCCTGGTGTTCTGTTTCGGCGACTCCGACGCCGTGTCCCGCTTCCCGCTCGCCGAGTCCGTGCTGGACGTTGCCCGCGGTAACTTCGTGGCGAGCTTTTTACTCGCCGGCCGTGGGTAGCTGGACTTTTTCTGCGACGAGAGGACTGCCGAGCTCGGTGGCTTCGACGATCTCGAACCTTTCTTCGCGATCGAGTCTGCGGTATGGGTCAAATGAGCCGTTTATTTTGAAAGTGGCATAAGTCACTTTTTCAAAAAAATCGAGTTAATGGTAACACTAATTACAATTGAACGGTATCTTTTTATTATTAAAAAAGTGACTTATGCCACTTTCAAAATAAACGGCTCAAATGTCGTCGTGATTGAAATTGTTCCATTATGTAGAGCGGCTTGATGGGTCTTATGCGAAATGAATATGGTTTTGAGGGATCTGTCGAGTCGGTGGACACTCGAGCTGCGTGATTGTTATTTAAGCCGCTACTTTTATGTTCATACATATTTGAATGGAATTCTTGCATTTTTCGATAGCTATAGTTGGACTGCGGATCTTTACACGCTCGTGGTGCGTGCAAGTTTGTAAAATAAAGCTTCTACTAATTCCTTTATCTTCCTTTAATTCTTGTCTCTCTCTGTCATTAATATTACCGCGAGTACCATCGTTATTATTCTTATTATCGTTAATATGCAATCGTGTGAAGGGTGCACGCTGTTTGCGCAATAAATAAATTAAACTTAAAAATGCAAGGAAACATGTATTCTGATTAAAAAAGAATTTAATCAGGGTAGGTATTATTATTCTTATTCTTAGGTATCACTATCTCATGTTCATTATGAGGAACTTTTTGGACAATGTTAGACGTTTCTTCGTGCTTGGAAAATGATTCATAAAAACCAGGAACTGTATAAAGATCCGCATGCTAGTTTTGTAGCATTTTTTCGAACAGCCAGTCGCTGAATTTTTACAAAATAAAATTTTCAGGACATTTGTTAGAATAGAACGACTCTATAAATATTAATGTGATGAGCGTGTAATTTTTTCGTACAATACGAACACTGTTCATTCACTGACGAGTGTCCCAATCATAGGACAGATCGCTCCATCGATGGAATAAACGGAGATCAAATAGTAATTTCAAATAAAAAAATATTCGAATAAAGGGCCAATCGAGAAAAGAATCGTTCGAACGAAATGGATAGAATAATTTACGACGAATAACGATAAAATAATCACATAATAATGATATAATAATAATTCGAATAAAATATCCGACTGAAAGGAATTCGTTCGGACAATCGTCTTAAACAAATATCTACTCGAAAGAATCCGAACAATGCGCAACTCTGCCTTCAGCACCGTACGAACCCCTATTTTTCGGACCAACATCGACCCCCTCATCGGACCTAGTACAAATAGGCAGAAGCTTTCTAACTCCGGCTGAAACGCCAAATTTCACCCGCGGTTGTAACGGTGCCACTTGAATTCTGACGTTCCAACATCATCGGATCAAATCGCCAGGTATTTGCATTAGGTCCATCAAGAAGATCAACATTCGAGGCCGAAGAACTGGGTCAAAACATCGATAAATCAATTCATGCGTGACTCCGTTTGAAAGGCTCCGGTGCAACGAAAGGATTCGCCAGGTCCTCAATGGTCCTCGAAAGAATGAGTGTCAAAGACCTAAGTGCACAGCTACCTAATCGCCTCCTTCTCGCAGCGGCGTCGTCGTCGTCGTCGTCGACCTTGGACGATCTCCCATCGCGGCGAGCAGGCTCGCGACCTTCGTCCGGAGTCCTAGTTTCGGTCTCTTTCTCCACGGTCTCCAGTTTCCGTGGCCCCTTTACCAAAAAATGGTCGAGCTGGTCCAACTGTTCCGCGTCCTTCTTGCCGATCGCGTTCGCGGCGTCGTAGTGCTCCTCCACGAAGTCGAAGATGCTGTGACGATAGCGGTCGTCGAGGCGCACAGCGACCGTGGAGTCGTTGGTGTTCAGGTGGATGGAGTTGAGGACGACGTCTCCGGGCGGTTGGTAGTCGTTGTACTGTTCCTTGAGGGCCGCTTCGATCAGCTTGTGCCGGTAGACGTCGTAATCGTAGGCGAACGCGTCGTCGAACGGCTGCTTGGCAGCGGCGAGCGCCGACGAGCGCTGCAGGATCGTCTCCTTCTGCGGGACCTCGTACGCCGTCAGGATCATCGTCGAAGACGGCTCGCTTTCCGCTTGTCCGCTTTCCAGGCTGCCGCGATTCCGGATGCTGTCGCCGCTCGCCCGCAAACGCGGCGTCGAGATCGCCTCGCGGACCGACTCCGGCCGCAGATCCGTGCCGGAGCTAGAGACAGAGTCCGCGAACACCGAGGCAGGGTAGTGAGTTACCACCGGCTGACTTCGGGTTCGTCCACCGGAAGATCGGCGAGCTCCTTGGCTCCTCGAGCCGGTCTTCAACGAGCCCTCCTGCCGCGAGAACATTCGGTATTCCGACAGTGTGTACAAATAGCGTTATCCGCGCGACGGAGCCGGTGCCACCGGCGAGCCAGCAACGACGCTGCAATTTTTTAGACCCGCCAGGTCGCCGTGCCCCGACTCCGATGTCTCGGATACAGCTATCATATTTTATTCGACGGACGACGACAAGCCGCCTGATTGCCGGAAATCGTCCGTCGCGAGCGACGGGTCCACGGGATGTTTGTTCACCGGGACACTCGCGAGCTGACTTCATTTCTAAATTGAATCCCCTGGCATGTTCGAGACTTGACGGCTCGGAATTGAGACGACTCCCCTCCCCTCCGTTCTCCCCCGCGCGAGGCCGAAGCTCTTTTTCGAGGGCGAGGCCGAAGCTCTTTTTCGAGGGCGAGGCCGAAGCTCTTTTTCGAGGGCGAGGTCCTTGCCGAGCACGCTGAAATTGAGAGGAGTGGCCGGTCCTTCGTCGCAACGCGCGGAAATGTTAACATTTATTTGCCAAATAAAGGTTATTTATTGTTGTGGTGCAAATGTTTTTTATTGGTATAAATATATTTATTATTGAAACGAAAATATTTATTATTTGAACGAAAATATCTATCATTGAAATAAAAATATTTATTATTCGAACGAAAATATTTATCATTGAAATAAAAATATTTATTATTGTAATATTATTATATAATATATTATTGTAATTATTGTAACTATATATTATTGTAATATTAATATTAATATTAAAAATATTTATTATTGTAATAAAGATATATTTATTATCGTAATGAAGGTTATTTATTATTGCAACGGAGGTTATTTATTATTGTAATGAAGGTTATTTATTATTGCAACAAGAATTATTTATTATTGTAGCAAAAATATTAATTACTGTAACAATAATAATAAAATTATTATTGTATTAATCGAAGTGTACTTCGGTTCGAAAGTGACCGTGATTCGGCAATAGAAATGGGGTAATTTTGTAATTTTGTCTAAGGATACACCTCGTCGATTTTCACGGTATTTAAATATTAGGTTATTAAGCATAATAAATTACATTTTCAGACAGAAGTCAAAATTTTCGAAAATGTGACTTACACCGCTGCGATTCTAACTCACTCATATATGTATACAGAAGTTCGCCACAATTTCGAAATAAGTCGTCGATTCAAACACCCAGAAGATAACATTAGAAACAGTTAACAGGAGAAATGGAAATTCCGTCAAATATTGGCAGAAATATCGAAAGATCGAGAACGTTTGGAAGTTCCGCAAAACACAGCTAACGCAAAATCTCCCTCGATAAGTCTTCTTAAATTAATTCACCTGTCCGAGAACAGCGAATTTCCCGTGGTAAAGCACGATTTATGGTCTCTCACGGTTGCCCAGGGAATTCAAGTTAGAGTATTTTGTAACGTACGGGATTTGACCTACTAAAAAGTGTTGAACTTGAAGGATTAAAGGCGCAGCCAGCAGCAGGGCGAGAGTCAGCGCGAAAATGCTCTCGACGACGAACGGCGGGATCGATTGAAAGGTTAGAACAAGCTTTCCGGGCTCCAGGACGCTCAACATGACGTTGACTTTCCCTCGAATCCGATCTTATTCCGGGAAGTATGGCTCGAGCCTTCCCGCGCCTCATGTTCGAACCTCGGTCACCGGATGAATAGACGCGCGATCGATGTCATCGCAACTTTGCACACTTTTCACAGGAACGTCCTCCATCATTGAGAGCACAACGACGACCCGGATCCCACTCGTTTCATTTGCGCACGCTTTCCGACCGGAAACCAACAAAGGCGAGTTTCGAGTGCGTTTTCATCGGAACAGAATCCGCCGAATATCAGTTGATTAACGTGCATCCGTCATTATTCTGTTATCCCGATTAACCCATTGCATCGTGACAGCGTGTCAGTCGCGTTACGAAGATCTCGAACGTGTTCTACCGCGCGAATTATTCTTTGAACCGAAATGAGATTCTACTTTTACGTATAGCTGGGTAAAATTTGATTCCAACGACGGATAAAAGATAAAAACTAACGAATAATATTTTATTCGAATTTTACGTCGGATTTTATCAAGATCAAAATTCTTCCGAATTTTATTCGAACAAGAATTCGTAAGGAAAATAATCGATTTGAGTAAAAATGATTGAATACAAAGCGCCTTTTTTATCATTTTCCCATTTGTGTAACTGGACATTTTGATCGCCATTATAGGTTTAGTGTTAAGTGAATCAATTATTATTATTGTTCTAAAATAATAATATTATATTATATATAATATATAATAATATAATTATATATTATATATTAGATTATATTATTATATATTATTATATAATTATATATATAATATAATATAATATTATATAATAATAATATTATAGGTCAATATTATTGCCATTATAGATTTAGTGTTAAATGAATCCAATTTTGTCATTGTTCTAAAATAATAATATTATAATAATATATATAATAATAATATTATATACAATTAATATATATAATTATTATATATATAAATAATAATATGTATAAAAATAATTATCTATATCCTAAAATTAATATAGATAATTACTTATATTCTAAAATAATACGAATAATTACTTATATCCTAAAATAATATGAATAATTACTCATATCCTAAAATAATATAAACAACTATCTGCATTCTCGAAAAGTATAAATAATCAGTCGCGTTTAGGGCTACGCCAAACATTTCGTTAATATATTTGCGCTCATGAGGCGAATAAAAGATTTATTCGCGTTTCAATCGACATTTGCACATCTGACAATTTCGTGGAAATTGAATTCGTACGATTCAATTTATCCAGAGTCCCGGTGTACTGTCGCCTCGACGTTCGCCATGGTCTCAAAACGGGGAAACTAACAGGTCCTCGGATGAACGTTAGCACGGCGGTGAATATTTCTAGTTAGTAAATGTGAGATGTATTTAGGGGACCTCCGTCGCGCGTGTACCTTTGTGTGCCCTGTTGAATGAAGTCATTACGGTTTTTCCAATAAGTTAATAATACTGCGCGATATTAAGCGAGCCGTCTGCTTCTGTAACGGTATTCGCGAGCAAATGGCGGAAGTAAATGCGCTTGAAGGAATTACTTTGAATCGAATGCAATTCAAATATCCCATTTTACGAATGGAAATCCGGTTCTGACGCTGTACATGGTGGCCCTTACAAAATCACTGATTGAATTTTTAACTGGTTTCATTCGAAATCGTTAGTAGCCTGCCGGTTATTATTGATAATATCTAAGTTATGTTAATCGATCTTTGACGAGACCGAATTTACCCAACAAACATTAGGATAGAAATAAGATACAAGCATAGAAAGTATTAATGGTAATCGACTTACATATTAAATATATATTAAATGTATATTATATATTATGATAAAATTTGCATCCTTTTAAAAGGCTTTGTAAATAGTGATGGGTTAATTTAATCTGGATGGATGATGGATTCTGTTCTAGTACGAATAATGAATATATGTTTTATCGACGAATGTATTATTTATTTCTTGATATGTGGATGCTAATGGGCCAAATTCCCGTTGAATCGGTAACAATAACTTTTTAATTGAAATATCAGACGTGATTAAATACGGCACCACCGTTCTCCCGGTTATTTTCATTTGATTTTCAATCAATTGCAATAACCGAATAAGCTCTATTGTTATTTATCCACGACGTTTGTGTGTTGCTCGCATATTTAAATTAATTATCGTATTTGCTAAAATATTATGGAAACGCATCATGCAAATATTTGATTTATTAAACAGTTTGGTAAAATATATCGCGATATGCGCAACGCTTTGGAACTGCAAAATCGTTTTGATTATTTCTGGGCTACGGTTAAGGCAATATAGACAATGGTAACAAATACTAAAAAAGTCTGCATTGATCGCAAAATACGGCAATGGTAATGAAAATAGTTAAAATTCGCGTTAATTCGAAAATACGACGATAGTAATAAATAGCGAATGTCTGCATTAATTGCAAGAAACAGGTGATAAATAGAATATTATTTCACGTTTAATCATTTTAATGGATTTGAAAACGATGGAACATGTTTTTGAAATTATTGAGATGCTTTTTATCGCGTTCATCGCGAATGCATACAGTTTAGTAATGAAAATAATAATGCCTGTAGTTGTGCAATGCGTATTGGCATCGTTTCCCAGCGAAATTACTTGTTGAAGAACTTTCTGCAGGGAATGGCGCGGATACTGAACCGGCAAATCTCTGAACTTTTCACGGCTGACTCCTCCGATATTACCAAGCCATTGATATAATGGACTTTGAGGATTTCATAACACGTAAAACCTCCGCTGCAGAGATTATCTTTTAAATGTGCGAGCTCGCTGAATCGTAAACAGATATACAGGCGAAATGAGAATTAACAAAGCAGAATGAAATATACACTTTCGTGCGCGCGGAGATACTTTTATTCGGATCTGCTGTGATCTTATCTGTTTAAAAATAATTCAATTCAATATAGTTCATATGTCAGTGACAAGTTTCACATGGCGGTGTCACGTTTCCATACGGACAGATCAGTGAAAAAACGCTTTTTAACAACAATTTTTGCGCTATTACATCCTTTTAATTAGTAAATAGTTTCTTTTTAGTTAATTTTTTAGTTTTAAAACTGTAATTAAAAAATAAAAGGGACGTAATTGTCTAAATTTGGTAAAATAAAATGGTTAAAAATAATTTTCGTAAATAAAGATATTGTTCAATAAATTATTTCATATTAGTGTTTCTTGCCTTTTGCGGATATTTTTGGATATTTATAGTAGTTTTA